TCGGGGTTGAGCACTTAAAATTATTATTATTATTATTATTATTATTATTATAATCAAAAAAGAAGCGCTAAGCCAACCTAAAATTATTATTACTATTAAAGGTCTTTATTATTATAATCAAAACCATGTGCTAAACCCACAAGGGGTCTTTAATTAAGGCTACATCTAAGCTCTGTATCACCAGTCAGGAATGTTGCCTTGATGCTGCCAAAGAATTCCTCATGTAAGAAATTAGAGCTACCCTCCCCTTCCTTGGATCAATCTTGATTGCATATGTTCCAGGATTTATGGATTTAGTGCATCTTGCTAAATAAAATAAACCTACTGCTTTCATTGTTCCGGTTTCTTTACTCACAAAATTGGGTTGCTTGCTGGTGAAGGGCTCTTGAACTAAGGAACAACCTGTGCTCCCAATGCTTTAGATAGTGTGCATTTTTAGCATTTCCCCAAGCGCTGTATGATCCCCTATGGGTTCTGCGCTCCCCCATAATGTAATAATAATAATCACAAAGTTGAATTTACCAGGGAACAGCAGTTATTCTACTTCGACTGGTTACAAAAAACGTCCTAAGATATACTACCCAAGCTCCTGGTACTATAGCTATGAAAACTTTAAAGGGTCACATATGTAACAGGATCAGGGAGTAAAGCCTAGAAATGGAAACATTAAAAAAGCAGTTTCAAGGGAGGTGCCTAGCTGCTGGTGAAGGGCCAGGTGGTTATGCTCATATCTCCCATCTGAAGGTGTCAGGATCAAGTCCTGGTAGAAGTGAGCCTCTAAGTATTTCAAACACAATCTCTCCTTTGATCTAAGGAATGAGCTATCCTTCTCTTCTTGGGTCAAACCTGCCTGCCTCCCATTCCCTTGACACTGACCCTTAGACATTCAGCAGTTCCCAGTGAATATACCGTAATAAGAATCAATGGAAAGAAGGGTGGGCTAATGTTAGATTAGGCAGGTTTGTCAGGAAACAGGGCAAGTGTTTCCTGGCCTGGGTCTTACTCATACGATGACCTGCAGCTGAAGCTTTTAGTCATCTGACTGAGGCCTTTCACTGGCTTACTGGTCCAAGCCTTGAAGAAACTGATTTTCTAAACCATTTACATCACAAAAAAGTCTTTAAAAACCAGTGAGTACTGAAAATGTGGCTCTGAGAGGAGGGCAGCCAGGGTTAAATTTTAAGTTCACAAGGATGTATTACAATTATAATTGTGGGAAGTGCTAAAACCATAGGGGGTTAAATGGCACCTGTGAAATGGAGGGTAGCTCCAATTCCCTGCATTGAGAGCCATTTCACCAGTGTCAAGGCACCTTCACTGGAGGGTCAAGGATGGAAACCACTGTACAAGGGTCATTAACCCTTTGAGGGTCGACAGGCCCTCTCCGAAACTCGTTCTCAGGGTCGGCCAAATTTCAAAAAAAAAAAAAATTATTTTTTCTTATGAAAAAATAGAGTATTTTTTTCTAAACATTATAGGCTAAACAAAAAAATTTTAGCGTCAATACTTACCGAGATATGGAGGTGTGAAATTTCCCAAAATTGAACAGCATATGGTAACATCGCCGACTGCCGTCACCCGGTATTTTTCTATTTACTTTTTTATGTACTATTTTCAATTTTTTTTCAATTTTTCTTTTTCTGAGTAACTTTTATGGCCTCTGAGGCCAACATGATCAGTATTTTGTAAGTTATTTCTTTTTCAATACTACACAATAAGGGCGTAAACACTGTTGTCATTATTTTGTTTACAGAAAATATTTACACAAACAAACAATATGAAATGTTGTTTATTACTATTTTTCTATATTTTATATACACATATACAGTCACAGGACATGTTTCTAGAAGTTCTGCAGCCTGTGGAAGTCTTTGAAACATGGTGTCATGCACAGTGGAGTTTTGCACTCCTCACACATAAAACGAGTGTCTCTGCGTTGTCGTGGGCGTTTTTTTTGTATGTGAACAGACGTAACACCTCTTCTGAGCCTTTTTCTTCAAAGCAGTAGCAGGCAGTTTTACCAGGAAGTGATCACCATGCTTCAGACGAGCAGGTAGTTGTTGATAATTTGGTGGGCGGTCAATTGCAGGTGCATTTCCTTGGTACTTGAATACTATTTGTCTGATGACAGACAAACAGAATTCGCCGTACTGTGGTTGTTTCTGGTGCTCATCTTATACATATTATAAGCATTGAGCATGGAAATGTCCAGAAGATGGAAAAACAGTTTGATGTACCACTTATAACTCTTGCGAACACAATCAGCAAACCCAATCTGCATGTCACATTTGTCCACTGAACGCATGTTGAAGGTGTAATCAATCACAGCTGCAGGTTTTAGAAGGGTTCATTTCTCTCTCTATGCTGCCTGCCACTGTCTGCCATTTCATTAGGGTGAATTGATGACAACAGTGTGACATCTCGTTTGTCATGCCACCGAAATGCCATGATGTCATTGGCAGCAAACGCCTGCACCTCACCTCTGCGAGTGCCAGCATCAAACCTGGGCATATGTTTTCGATTTGCACGCACTGTGCCACACACATCTGTCCATGTTCACTCGCAAAAATCACTGAGTGAGGGGCTTGTGTACCAGTTATTCTGTATATAATATATGCCCCTTACCAAGGTATGGTTCTATCATTGTTCGAACCACATCACTGAGATGCCCAATAACTTCCTGGTATTTTGCAATGTATAACTTCCAGTGTACACAATAATATCCAATACCAGACCACTGTAACAATCACAAAGCACAAACAAACTTTTACCAAAGCGTTTCCTCTTGCTTGGTATTGTACTGCTTGAAAGAGAGTCTTCCTTTGAACAGAATCAAGACTCGTCAATTACAAGCTTCCTGAAGGGATAAAAATGAGTACTGAATTTCTGTTTCAGATACACAAACACATTCCTAATCTTATATAACCTGTCAGTTCTGTCAGGCCTGGTTTTATCTGAGAAGTGAAGCATACGTAACATTAGCACAAATCGATTCACTGGCATTATATCACTGAAACCTGGTGTTGCAATCAGGGGTCTGTTGACACATTTAATGTTTCACTTTGTGCTTATACACATGTGGCATAAGCATTATTGTGGCAAAGAAAAGATACAGCTCAGCCACAGTTGCCTCCTTCCATTGGTGTAGACGTGATTTTGGTGAAAGTATTGTGTTTGCCATGGTGTACTCGTAGTATGTGTTGCTTTCCATGACAATACTTTTCATCAGTGGTTCGTCAAAGAATAACTCGAACATTCCAGTTCAGTGGCATTGTTCCCAAGTGTACAAGATGGCCGTATTCCACTTTGGCTGCCATCAAACTGGTGGGGATTTGGAACAAAATTGACAGCTTCTGCCAATCCAGGTGCGGTCTGCTGGTGGGTACTGGACAATGACAGGTGGTTGTGGTTGTGGAGGTTGTGGTTGTGGAGGTTGTGGTTGTGGAGGCTGGTGTGGTGGGGGAGTTGGGGGATGGTGGCCTTTGTTCTAGATCAGCTGAGGCAGCGGCGTGGGTGGCAGCGTGGGTGGCAGCATGGCCCACTGCTGGTGCCTCACCGCCGGCACCACTACCACCACGCACATTTTCCATCCCAATTGCAACAGTATCTTCGTCATTTTCACTGTCTGTTCCTGTTGTACAGCCACGGGATGTACTCCGAGATACACTCCTTCCCCTTGGAATAGCATATGGCACACTTCCAGAGCGCATATATCGTGTATATACTGACGCTTCACGGGGAATATTGCACTTCACTATCACTACTGGAACTAGTTTGAAGAGCTTGTAGTTCATATTCACTATCACTATCATCACCCATGCTCTCATCTGAGTCTGGGATTTGGAAGAAAATAGAAGTTTCCTCTTGGGTTCTGGAACAACTGAACGTGAACACGAGGGCCCAGCACCAGAGGTGGAAGGCTGAGGGTCGTCTGGGTTTTCTTCACTATTACCGATATTATGGTCATTAGTTTCGGTCAAAACCTCACTAAAACCACGAAACTCATCTTCACTGGCACTTCCATCACTATTAGACTGTCACTGGGGAACAAAAGTGTCCCAATTCGCCGAGGAGTGAGGAGCTTCTTACCGCGAGGCATGGTGGACATTGTTTACTAAGAGGGCATTCCCACAATGCACCACTGGGTCCCAGATTTTTTTTCTACCGCGCACACTGACCACGCAGACCCATTCTCTCACACCTAGGCCTATCAGCCTTTTCGCGCGAGATTTGAGGCCGCTAGAATTTATGCGTACTAGTACGTCAAAAACCCCTACGCGTAAGACGTACTAGTACGACGAAAACCCTCAAAGGGTTAAAATTGAAATTCCTTAAAGGATAGCGGTGAAAGGCTCTTGAAGCCAAAGAAATGGAGCTAGCCTACTTACAGCATGGATACTTTAATTCTTTAAAAAAAGTAAACTGTGTACGTAGAGATGCACCTTTCCGGAACATGGAATACTGTATAGGCACCTGATGTTCACCATAACTTGTTTACAGTGCCTGGTAAGTTTATATTTTATAATCAGAAAGAGAACAAACAAAACTGTCACAAACAACACCTGGAAGTGGGGGAATGACACACACACACACACAAGCTTTTCGTGTCCCCCCTCAAAGGTTTACTAAAGCCAGTGAGGGGTTCTTGATCCAAGGAATTGAACAATGACTAATTTGCTTTGTATTGAATCTTACTACTGTTTCCTCAGGCACTATATTACCCCCGAGTTAAGTGCTCTAAGAATGTAATAACTCTTTTTGTGAATATAATGACAAGTTCAGTAATTTCTCAACATCAAATAGAAGCATATTACCTTCAAATAAACTTGACAAGAGTAAGCTTTCTTGTTTATTCTAATAGCAGCTTAATGACCCACAATGCATTTGTGTTTCTTTTTTAATAGACTGGTAATAAGTAACATAATTCTAGAGTTTTCTAGAATTCTGTTTAATATGTATATCTGTACTACAATTAATTTTAGGTATAGTGAAACAAATAATAAAAATGTTCTTAAACCTTATTGTCTCTGTACTACCTATTACATCTCATCAATGTTCACTTAAATTACTGAAACAGCGTGTTAACCACAGCTACGCTACATGTACACTACATGTTCTCCATTGTTAAGTGTCATAATGGGCAACCTGTACAATGCTATTTGAAAGTGTACAAATGTTAACAAATATTACAACCATATTTTGAAAGGTATCCTTAAACAAGCAGACTGCTGCTTGAAAGTCAAGATTTCTATTGCATAAAACTGCAAAAGTACTGCTTACCTTCACTAATGAAATGAGATTTATATCCCTTACATATAAACTAGGACATAATTTTCCTCGTTTCTACGTTTCATGCCTCAAAATTTACAAACATTCAAGATACTGTACCTGAAAAATTATTTAAAAAATTAATTTACATTCACACACTATGAATGTGAGATTTAATACGATAAAGGGAAAAGTGATCATAATTTTTTCCTTCTTCAAGAACAATATGTGTAATATTACTTAATATTATGCATATTGTTACTGCATCCTAAAAGGCTTGATCACACAAATGAAGCAATCAACAGATAAGTGCCTTAAAAATATGAAAAATCAATGAAGACTTCTCGAAAAAATATTCTGCAGTGAAAGAAAACAAAATAAAAGCGAGATAAAAACGCCACTGTATTCAAAGTGTTGAGAGTAATGTTTTATGGGAAAAATAACTTGACTCGCACAAATTTAGAACTTTTTAAATGGTATACAATAAAATGGGGGAAACTAACCACATATTAAAAAGATTAATGATTTGGTAGGTGAATAAGATCAATCACTTAAAGTGGTATTTAGCTATACAGTGGACCCCCGCTTAACGATCACCTCCAAATGCGACCAATTATGTAAGTGTATTTATGTAAGTGCGTTTGTACGTGTATGTTTGGGGGTCTGAAATGGACTAATCTACTTCACAATATTCTTTATGGGAAAAAATTCGGTCAGTACTGGCACCTGAACATACTACTGGAATGAAAAAAGTTCGTTAACCGGGGGTCCACTGTACTGGTAAAATATACAGTATTACCCCACCTTACAAGTTCGTTAACCGGGTGTCCACTGTACTGGTAAAATATACAGTATTACCCCACCTTACAAGCTCATCAACCTCTAGAATTGTTGTGTTACACTGCAAATTTTCATTCATAAAAAAATACAGTATTGGTCCTCATTTGTAAGTGCAAATCAGCGTAATTCAGGCAAATGTAAGTTGGGTTAGTACTGTAATGTATTTTGTTTACCACGAAACATGGAATATGGTAAAAAAAAAATATACAAAAATATTAAAATAAAAAATGGCATTGAAGTTGAGTATCTGGGTTTACTTAAAAGTTGTGTTGTTACCTATATCTAATTTAAGTACACCATTAGCTAGGTCATAACTATACTTTGTACATCATCCCATTTAGCTGACAGTAATATACCTAATGTAGGTCCCAGGGTTGGCATAACTGTCCACTTATTTAACCCTTAAACTGTCCAAACGTAGATCTACGTTCGTTCGCATAGCACTCCGAACGTACATCTACGTTTTTTTTTACATTCTTTCTTATGGGGAAAATCAAGTTTGGAGCGCTACGCATGAAAACATAGATCTACATTCGGACAGTTTAAGGATTTAAAAAAAAAAAAAAACAGCCCACCTAGGCTGGTAAATGGTAACTTCAATGCTACCTTTTTTATGCCTGATAAAGACTTTTGAAGCATCATAAGTTAGGAAATACGTATACATCTGAACTGCTACTGACCAGACCAATTTGTGTCCTGCAGATAAAATAAACTGGTAATTTTAAATTTAAAAACAAATTCATAAATATTTTCTTGCAAAAAGTCAGCCATTGAAAAAGCAGAAACCTTTTAAAAAAAAATCAGCCTGTATCAGTTATTTGATTTTTTTTTCCAATGGGTTATTTAAAAAAAAAAAGTGAAGGGGGAAAAGTGGGTTACCCACGTCTGTGCCAACCCTGGAAGGATCCCTTCAAAGGAATATTTATCAGTTATGTGCATAACTTCTCTAATTAGAACAATATGAGACAACTTAGTTTTATTGCGTATTCTGACATTTCAGAGCAGATTCTGGCTTTTCTCACATGTATGGCATTTTAGCTACAATATGCCTATAAGACAATTGATGTTATATTGTGTAGAAATACATAAATTATCATAAATTTTAATCAAACTTGCTTTCACAGCCTCTCAGTTACTAACAAAACAAAAAAGTACATCTACTGCATTAAATTAAAATGATAATTCCAGCATTTCATCCAGTATTAATATGTTTTAAGAATGCCTCTCAAACTCAAAGCTACAAGGGTTATTATAATTATAATCATAGGAAATCCTAAGCCTTAAGGGTCATACAGCACCTAGTGAATGGAAGGCTTGATCTCCCCTACAGGTTTAGCACTTCCCTTTGAATATTAATTATATTATCATCAAAACTAAGTGCTAAGCCACCAAAGTCATACAGCGTTGCTTCCCTTTGAATAAAAATGAAATCAGGTTTGATCTGAAAAAGTGAAAAGTAGCTCTAAATAGTCCATCAGAAAAGCAACAAATAGCAATACTTTTAACCCTTAAACCGTCCAAACATATATCTACGTCTACGTGCAGGGGTCTCCGAACATAGATCTATTTTTTTTTACATGCTTTCAAATGGGGAAAATCAAAGTCGGAGCGCTACACACGTGAACGTATATCTACGTTTGGACAATTTAAGGATTAAGGGAGTGTCTTAATGCTTGTGAAGAGGTCTTGATTCAAAGAACTGGAGCTACTGTTCCCTTCCTCTTATCAAAAATGATAACTTTTCATTCCCCAAATACTGTATGATTGTACAGATCTAGCACCTCCTTTAATATAATAATAATAATAATAATCTATTATCATTAGAGGCTACACACTGCAATATAGGTTCAACGCTGATTTACCAGCAACAGATCAGCCAGCACCTCTTTTAGTCTGGATAAATTTACGAGACTACCTTGTCCCCAAAACAGTTGACCTGGCAGCCACAGATGATATTGTATGAAGTGTGTGCTCACCTTTATTGTTTACACTGCAGTTGGTAGGGATCCTTTAATTCTATGCAATTATTAGCATATTTTGCTGACAATTAACTCTACAGCTAGTGATTAGCTCTGCAGATCCAATAAAACTCTAAAATTTACCACTTTGGGAGTGGTAGAACTTCAACATTCTTTCTAAGTACACTACTAAATAAATCTATTTTATTTATGCTAATGTTTAATTTAAGTTTGCAGCAGACCATGGTGGGTCAGAGGTATATTGTTGAATTATTAATACATGACCTCTGTTGGTCTGGCAAAATCAACATTGTAATAAAGTTGGTAGAATTACCGACAATATGTAAAGTAAAAGGACACAAGTGCAACTAATGTGACATTTATTGTGGCAACGTTTCGCTCTCCAGGAGCTTTATCAAGCCATGATAAAGCTCCTGGAGAGTGAAACGTTGCCACAATAAATGTCACATTAGTTGCACTTGTGTCCTTTTACTTTACAAAATCAACATACCAGCAAAGCTCAGGAACCAGAGGTGCAGGAAAATCAGTGTTGCATAAATAATTTTAAGAGCAGGACAGAGTCAGGGTAATATAAATTAAAAGGGAACCAGTAAATGTTCATACTTCTATTCCAATGCTATACTGTGAGAAAACTATAACATTACATTATCAATGATATTTGTTAAACTAGTACTGGATAAGTGAAGTATTCCTCTACGCTATTAACAAACATTTACTTGTGCTACTGCATTACCTGAAAATAATTAGCACCAGTGGCAAATTATGTTCAGTATCTCTTAGGAATTGAGAACAGTTTCAGCATTATTCACATGTCAATATACTGTATTCTATTTCCAATTAAACACTAAGAAAATCACCACAAGCACAAATTTGTATAAAACATGATTCGCAAAAACGTAATAGTTGGATGAATCTTATTGTAGCCAGCTGACCCAGTGGCCCCACCCGTGGTATGGTTTGTATAAAACATTATGGGATCTGATTTTGAATAACTCTTAAGATGCTGCGAGTGTATGCATATATGAGAATAGAATTTTGCCCTACAAAACCAATGAACTAAAATTTTTTTGGAAAAACTTTAAAAGATTCTTGATCTGGTTGTTTAGGATTTGAAGAAGTGCCATTATACAGTACATGACCAAAAGAAATAAACCACTAGATAATATATGTACAACAATCTGTTGTTCTAGACTGGTTTTCACACCTTGTGGGATCTTAGCTAGTATTACTGGCAGTTCAGAGCTTTTGACATTTTTTGTGTCAAAATAACATTAATGGTAAAGTATGGTAATACAAAGCACCAACAGACAATGAAAGAATTTTTCACTTGTAAGTGTTTTGTCATTCTCCTTATGAGCTCATGACTACATGACTTGCAAAGTGTAAGAAAAAAGGTAAGAACTGATGTGTAAAAATGCAGAAAGTGTGGGAAATATTAAAGAGTATAATGATAACTAAAAACAGTCTTATACTCTCCAAAGCTATTAACATCAATGTGCAGTGACATAGGCTGGTAGCAAAAAATACTTTATGTTTAAAACTCTTTACAAAGGAAAATTCTAACAAGTTTAAAAAAAAAAAAAAAAAAAACACGTATAAGCTGTCAGCTACTGTAGGTCTCCAATATATTTTTTGTCATTAAAAACTTTTCTACTTAGTGTGAACACATCATAAAAAGCTTCGTCCTTCTAATGTTACTCTTGGCAGAATAACATCAAGAAACAGAGCTTAACTTCATCATTAACACTTATACTTCAGCCTTAATAAGAAAACATAATGGTTACGAATAATTTTTATATGTAATTATAATACCTAATATTTATAAATTAGAAAATAAATATTTGTATATCAATGTTTCTTTTGTTGATTTTAGCTGCAGTGTACTAATAAACTCCCAGTTTCAACTCCCAACCTTACACTTTGACAAGAAAGCCTGGATTCTTGTGAAACTCTTGATCCAAGGAACTGAATCTACACCCTTTAAAGGGGGGGAGGCTTAATGAAAGGCTCTTGATTCAAAGAACTGGAGCTGCCCCTTCCCTTAATTAGATCAACCATAATTGCTTCCCATTTTCCTGGCATGATGACTTCTACAGGTTCAGCACTTCCATGTGAATATTACTTTAAACTACACGCCTCTTCCTGGGGTCAAACGTGATTATTCACCAAACATCCCTCTACCAGATGCAGTGTGACCCTTATGAGCTTAGCACTTCCCATTAATATAAAAATATTAATAACTTCCTAACCTTAAACGTAACAATGCCAGTCAATTTATTCCTTGTACTTGAATTCTTCATATAGATTACAATGTCTGTGAATACATTTCAATTGTACATATTCTATGGTCAGTACGTATTTAAATGCTAGAAAATATTTACCATAAATAAAGGTCATAAATAAATTAATTGGTAATGTTAAGTACTGTGACAATATACATTTTGTGTACTATCTATCTCAGCTGCAAGACACATTTGTCTACACAAGTTATAATTTAGTTCACCATAAGCATAAGTTAGCTGTCACAGGAAGTTTTTGTTTCAAATACAGTAAAGAGAATTTCCCTTACCTATAGGAAGAACTGGTCCCAGTCAAGAGAACAGGTGAACCCTTGGCTGAAGTCCTTGCTTGGCAATAACTGTAGTCAACTCTAACATCAGACGATGCTAATTGTATTAAGAATATTTCATTACAACTGTTAATCTGCATTCAAAGGTACAAAAAATGTCATGTTATTTATGTGAAAAAAAAAACCACACAAAGCCTGTCTTTAATGTGAACATTTCACCTGGGATAAGCCTACTGAGATAACTGAAAAGTACAGCAAAATACAGGCTTATGTATCAGGGGTAGGATGTGGACAATGAGACTGATTGTTAAATTCACAGGGAAACAAAATAGGTACCCATAAAGTTTACACAGTAGGTATCATAAATATGCACACATACAAGTACTCTTTTAGCAGACTATTTGTTGACAGTTTTGAAAAGTGCCAGGGCACAGGGCAACTTTTATATGCTATACTGCTGAAGACAATTAGGTAATGATTGTGAAATTTCAATCTTTAATAAGTGCCCTGGTAACTCACCGGACTTCAATAGAGAACATATTGAACTTGATTAAGCATAAGTTTTGTGGCAGGGACGTGTCCACTCTCCCCAAACTCTTGAGTGTGGTTAAGGTGTGGGATTATTATAATCAAAAGCAGCGCTAAACTGCAAGGATATACAACTAAGGTGTGGGAAAGTATTAAACTACTATCCTCTATACTTTAGATGACAGTTTAGTGCTTTATTTGATTATAATAATAGTAATATATACTTTAGATGTAAACAGTGCATCATGAGGAAGGGCAGTCCTATAAAATACTAGGGTAGGTAGCCCATACATATTTCAATATTTTATGTTTAAACCAATAATTTATGGAGAGCTTGCTCATTATGTGTGTGAAGAATTAATGAGCACGCACATGTATGATGCCTACTGTACAATGCCATAATGAGGGATAAACAAGGTGAGAAGGGATTCACTGGTCCTTGCTGCATCAAACTAATTACATTAACTCTGCTCAGTACTGCAGTAGTTTTATAATAGGCACATCAATATTAAGTGCCAATTGATTCTTTTCTAAAGTGTTGAAACTCCAATTTTCTTTAGTATCTATCTTGTGATCAACAAGGAACACTAATTTCTTAATTAACCTAGTATACCCTCACCCACTTAATCTACTTTCTCCTATAACAAGATATCATATATATAAGCTTGATTTTTTTATTCTTTTCAACTGGCTTTATGAAGCTTACCCAAGAGAGAAAGTCAACAATAAAGACATGCCCCAGTATAATGGCTTTTATTTACATTCTTTTAAATCAAAGGTATAATGCCAATAAGTATATGGCTAAGAGATGTGCAACACCTGGGTAGCTTCATTCAGATGTTTCAGTTGCAGAGCAGGCATTATCAAATAATCTATTAGATTGAGAAAGAATGCTGAGAAGACAAAATGTCTCTCAATAATCAAGTATTGCACACATGTCTAGTCATCAAAAAACTTGTTGGTATTATACTTTTATCTTGTCATACCTGTTTGAGACAGCAACAGCATAGAATCTTGGTGGAGAAAATATTCTACAATTCTATTGCTAATTCTTTGGACCACCTTATGGAGCCTGACTTACTTTTACTAGTGGGCATTGCCTATGTGACAACTTCAACTGCTGCATCTCTCCAGATGATCTACAAGCCATAGCTAAATCTTATAGGTTTGACCTACTTTCTCTAATGGGCATCACCCACACGTGACCATGTCTGCAATTGCTGCATCTCTCAACTCCAATATAAAACTCTTCATCCTCATGCTTCTGTATTAGTTTGATAAAGTCTGCTGTGCAAGTGAAATGTATATCAAAACAAATACCCAGGTGATCACATGTGTTATTTACATCTTTGTTGTTAGTCTTGCCTATGCTTCATATTTTTGGAAGCTTTCATAATGAAGTATGTCAGCATTTTTTTAAAAAAATCCATGCCAAATGCACTTCAAGATAAACAGTTTACATTGGAATGTAAAAAAAATATTAACTGAAGTTACCCTTCACTATCTGTAAATAAATTTGATCTCCCTGAACATTAAGTTAAAATATAAGTACACAAGTGTATACCAGAATACAATTTTTTTTTACAAGTGTTAAAATACTAAAATTCAAATAACTGCTGTAGAATTTATGAAAGAAAACCCAAGTTGTTTTCATGTAATAATATGAATATTACACTAACTTAAAAGATAATGTAAATTTATTAATCAAACACAAACCCTGAGAATTTACAATACTACATTCTCTAAATATCCAAGCAAGTAATGCTATGTGGTAATCAGCATTTGTGGATACTGAGAATAATTTTACTCTTAATGAAAACGAGGAAATGTACTGGTACAGTATTTTCCAAATGGACAAAAACAAATATTTGATTAGCATTGGTGATGTAAAACAAATGTGCTGTGGTCAAATGCCACACAAATACGGTACTTACACAGCAAGATAACAATAAAAAAAAAGGTAAGGTATACTAAGGTACATCAGTCTTGTTTATAAATTTGGAGAAACTTAGAAGTCTGCATGACACTGTTAGGAGAAGAAAAACACATCTAAAAAAATAAGTCAGTACCATGACCAAAACAAATCACAGCTAACCCACAAATTGGAAATGAATCTGAATTAGTATGCTTGTCCACCCTGATTCTCGATACAGTAATGGTTCAGAATGGACCGAGTGTCAAACTAGCTTCGTCAACAATTTCTAGGTCAGCTGTGAACCTATGTGGACTCCATCATTGATTAATTACAAGTACAGAAAACCCTCAATTTAATGGCCTAATAAAGGGGATCAGGTGGCTAGTAGTGGTAATTGTGGTGGATAAACTCAAAACTGTTTTGCTATCATTGTAACTAATGAACAATCTAGTCCGATAAATCGAGGGTTTACTTTATTCTACCACTGAAAGTTGTAACTATAATTACAGTATCTTAAATACCTTAAACTTTACATATTCTTAGTGAGCTTTGAAAAATATGTGGAATTTTTGCAGTTTTTTTTATTAAAAGAATGTCATTGTGAAGAAGTTATACAGGTGTGAGGATGTCTTCGTTCTATATGAGATTTCATATTCCACTTTAGCTGAGAACGGAAGGTACAGTAGGGACATTTAAAAGGCTTGTCTCCCAGGTGACTGCGGATATGACGTTCCAAGTTGTCGCGTCGACTACTCGCTCTGCCACAGATGGGGCAATGTAATTCTCCACCAGCACCGAACTGGAAATTTTTAATATTTGGGATAAAAATAATAAAATCTGTGATGGTTAGTGATTGCCAAAAATGAAAGATAAGCTCCTGGAAGCTTTATCAAGAAAATATTACCCAGCTTCAATACTTAAAAATGAAAGCATCATAACAAAAATAATTTTAATAATAAATATTAACAATTTTATTAAGAAAATGTACATAAATGTTACAAGATTGAAGTTAGCAATATGTTTTCTACAGTTTTTTAAAAACCTATATTTATACAGAATTTCAGATAGATTTAACCTTTAAACGGTCCAAACGTATATATACATTCATGCATGTAGCGCCCCAAACGTATATATACGTTTTCTTTGTCATTCATTCAACATTGCCACAATAAGCCTGAGTCACCTAGACATGAGAGAATGGGTGTGTGCACTCACTGTGTTCCATATTAAAATAATTGGGGATGCCTGGGTACCATATGCTCTTTTTTCCTTTTAAAAGAAAAGATTTCTTTTTTCCTCAAAAAATTTGGGGCGCTACGCGAGTGAACGTATATATACGTTTGGACAGTCTAAGGGTTAAACTAGGGCTAAGAGTACTTAATAATTAATACAGTACAGTTAAACAATGGATGTAAAGGTATTTAAATTATGAGAATAATGCATGCATATCTTAAGATAATGAGTATTAACATTTATAATATCTGAAGCAATAATTCTGAGTAAAATAGATAAATTAGCAGTAGTGTCCATTTAAAAATCTGTAGCAGTAATAACTTAGGGTAGAAATATAGTGGTGACATTTGAGATATGAATACGAAAGCTTATGTGAGGCACATTTAGCACGGTTGTATTAAAGATGTTAAACATGTGCAGCGAGTCAGGGCTGATTATACATCAAGTTCAGGTGGTGTTTTTTAGCAATATTTTTTCGAGCTAGCCAAACTTTAGTTCTGAAAATGAGAATCAAATGATGTGGTTCAAACGGTCACCTGAACTGTGAGTTCTTGCACTTCTGGCAAGAGAAGTAGTGAATGTACCTTATTTCCTTCTTTGGGTCACATACCTTGATGGGAAATGATGTGGTTAAAGAAAAAAAAAAGTGTAACTTGTAGATGTACAGCTTTTACGATCATCACTTTCATGGTATTCATGACATGTCTACCATTCGTGGTGCTCTCATCCCTGTACAGGAGGGCCCCGCTTTACGGCATTTCGCTTTACGGCGTTCCGCTAATACGGACATTTCAAATTATGACCAAAACTCGCTATACGGCTCCCCCCACCTGTCTTTCTAATACGGTCACAGCGGCCCACCGAGTTTGTTTACATTCTCCCTGAGCACATCTCCTTATTATGTCTGGAAACTTTCCAAAATTTCAAGTGTTTTAAAGTTATTGTATATTTTATATGTATTGTACTTGATAATTAAACTTGTGTACACCTGTACCTAAATAAACTTACACACTGTGCTGGCATGTAGGTACACATTAAAATCACTAAGAGTCTCTCTACTCTTGATGCAATAATAATAATCTCTTGGGCGCATTAATGTCGCATATTACATTAATATAGACATTTCCCTTAATCTATCTATGATATTTTTTTCAAAATTATATAAGAAACACATTATGTAACACACAAACATGATACATGCACCCACAGTATAAAAATTTATACAAATATATATGAGATGTTTACCAAACGGTTTGTAGAAGTGTCGGAAGAATTACGTTTTCTCTAGCCCGTCACCTGTTACTAGGGATAACTGTAGAAAAATATTCCTTTCGTATGCCTTCACTTTATAGCTATAATTCTGTACTAACTTGTACACAGTGTAAGAGTATTTGTTTCGTGATTTAATTATTATAATAATAATAAAAATATTATAAGGTAAAAGTTTCACAAACTCTTACAAATGTACATGAATGAACTAAAACTGGACACGTATTAATACCGTCTATTTCGCCTGACCGAGTGATCGTCCACAACCTGTTCAGTTTGTTTGTTTACACTGTCTGAGCTCGGTGTATCATTAAATGTTGTATATTACGTTAATATACACATTTTCATTAATCCATCCGTGATATTTTTTTTCAAAATTATATAATAAACACGATACATAACATAAATACATAACAACATGTGTGTAGAGAACCTAGGATAACCCAAAAAAGTCAGAGTGACTTACTTCCATTGCCTTCACTCAGAGCATCATTTCTTCTCAAAATGATGTTACATGAGAATGGGAGTGTTCTTCTTTATTTATTCTACCGTATCAATGTAGAGACAACCTGTACACAATGTAACTTGTACACAAACCAGACATGTACACTGTTTACAAAACTTACCTTCGCCTGGTTTGTTTACATAACTCTGCGCCTGTCCTCTCTCATGCACTCATTCTTTCTCTCTGGTATGGTAGCCTGGCTGACTACCATACATACCACACTTGATTTTTTACAATAAATACTACTCATCTCACCCTATATTTTAAGGTAAGTAATGAGTGAACTGTATATACATTTTATCGCTCTAGGATGCTTAAATATCATAGAATAGTATGTGTGGGTGGGGTGGCCTGGTATGGTAGCCTGGCTGACTACCATACATACCACACTTGATTTCTTACAATAAATACTACTTGTCTCACCCTAGATTAAGACTATAAATATTTTAAGGTAAGTAATGAGTGCACTGTGTGTGTATTGTACTTTTTTATTGTTTTTTTGATGCCTGGTTCTATTGCTAACATAATATATGTTAGTGTAAACTTGTTATCTAGTGTTTGTATGCATTTGTAAGTGAAAAAAAGGGTGTTCCACTTTACGGTGGTTTCCGCTTTATGGCGGTAGCCTGGAACCTAACCCGCCGTATAAGTGGGGCCCTCCTGTATATGATAGCCTTTATTTCTAAGAATCATCACCCTTCTTGACACTCTTATCTTGTCTTGACCTCTTAAATCTGCTGTCATTTTTCTTTGAACAAAGGCAATTCAATTGTTCTTGGTTGCAAGTCCTCATTTTTCGACTCTCGAACCTGCACTAACACTTTTAATCAAAGGTATGGGAGTGAACTTCTTCAAATTAATTTTCCATGTCTTTTACTGTCTCTGGCATGAAAACAACCTGCAATTGGTTGAAAAACCTGATGCAAGGCTACTGATAACAGATAGTGAATAAGTTTCCTTCTTTAGGTCACAGAGCTTTAGCAGAACAAGTAAGGCATTGTGACTCACATGATTCTTTGCTACTTGTAAATAACTTTAAGCATGTCCCACCTCCCAACCTATATGCAGTAAATTGTGTTGCAAATAGCCTATGTCATGCACAGCTTCATGCACTCACTCACAGTTTAACTAATACAGGTTAAGCTGCAGAAAATATACAGTAATAAAATAATTTAATTCTGTGGGGAAGCAGAAAAGAATTCTTCCTCCATAAGACATGCATGTCGTAAGAGGCGATTAAATACCAGGAGCAAATGGCTGGTAACTCCTTCTCCTGTATAAATTATCAAATTTAAAAAGAAAAACACCCGGCCTTGGTGGGATACGGCTGGTTCACAAAAAAAAAAAAAAAATAAAAAAAAAAAAAAATAATAATATATATATATATATATATATACACAGTGGACCCCCGCTTAACGATCACCTCCAAATGCGACCAATTATGTAAGTGTATTTATGTAAGTGCGTTTGTACGTGAATGTTTGGGGGTCTGAAATGGACTAATCTACTTCACAATATTCCTTATGGGAAAAAATTCGGTCAGTACTGGCACCTGAACATACTACTGGAATGAAAAAAGTTCGTTAACCGGGGGTCCACTGTATATATACACAGTGGACCCCCGCTTAACGATCACCTCCAAATGCGACCAATTATGTAAGTGTATTTATGTAAGTGCTTTTGTACGTGTATGTTTGGGGGTCTGAAATGGACTAATCTACTTCACAATATTCCTTATGGGAAAAAATTCGGTCAGTACTGGCACCTGAACATACTACTGGAATGAAAAAAGTTCGTTAACCGGGGTCCACTGTATATATATATATATATATATATATATATATATATATATATATATATATATATATATATATATATATATATATATATATATATATATATATATCCATGGGGAAGTGGGAGACGACCGACTTGTTGAAAAAAAAAAAAAAAAAATAATAATAAATATATATATATATATATATATATATATATATATATATATATATATATATATATATATATATATATATATATATATATATATATATATATACATACATACATACACACATGGGGAAGTGGAATAAGAATCTTTCCTCCGTAAGCCATGTGTGTTGTAAAAGTCAACTAAAATGCCGGGAACAATGGGCCAGTAACCCCTTTTCCTGTAAAGATTACTAAAAAGAATAAGAAGAAGAAAATTGTCAAAGTGGGAAGTCTGAATGTGCGTGGATGTTGTGCAAATGATAAGAAAGAGATGATTGTGGATGTTATGAATGAGAAGAAGCTGGATGTCCTGGCTTTAAGTGAAACGAAGCTGAAGGGGGTGGGAGAGTTTCAATGGAGAGAAATAAATGGGATTACGTCAGGGGTTTCAAATAGAGTTAGAGCTAAAGAAGGAGTAGCAATAATGTTGAAGGATAAGCTATGGCAGGAAAAGAGGGACTATAAATGTATTAATTTCAAGGATTATGTGGAGTAAAATAAAGATTGGATGTGAAAAGTGGGTTATAGTAAGCGTGTATGCACCTGGAGAAGAAAGAAGTGTAGAGGAGAGAGAGAGATTTTTGGGAAATGTTGAGTGAATGCATGGGGAGTTTTGAATCAAGTGTGAGAGTAATGGTGGTTGGGGATTTCAATGCTAAAGTGGGTAAAAATTTTATGGAGGGAGTAGTAGGTAAATTTGGGGTGCCAGGGGTAAATGTAAATGGGGAGCCTTTAATTGAGCTATGTGTAGAAAGAGATTTGGTAATAAGTAATACATATTTTATGAAAAAGAGGATAAATAA